CAACAACAAGATTTAATCTTCCCATTATTAATACGAATAGGTTATTGAACTCTTTTATCCCAAATTATGCGAAAAAATCAAAACTTTAAGCATATTAGTATAGTCTTAGTATTAATACTTTATCGTAGCGGAACATTTTACAGTAATCTTAAATTTAATAGAATTTTATAGCAACATGTTGTAAATATAGTAAACATATTCCATATTTTATCTAAAATTCTTTGCCTGTAAATTCAATTGCAATTCAGTCGTAAGACTGCAAAAATTGATCAATTAAACATTATTATTATTATAACTCTATCTGAGTGACCAAGCAATTGCATCTCAAAGTTGTCCACATTGATTGGGGAGTTAGCCAGCGAGTCCCGGGGGTTAGTAAACAGTTTAACTGGGTTTAAATTAAAAAATAACGTACGATGCAAGGTGCTATAGTGACCAGTGTCAACGTCTAGATCTGGAGCGATGGCGAGCGTGGTCGGGGGAGGGTCGGCGTCTATCGCGAGGTGCGGGTGGGTCGTGGTCGATGCGGCGATGGAACTGGCCGCAATCTGGGACGTTGCAAACGTGGCGAAATCTACATCGTGACCGCGGAGAGATGCACGCCCCTTGATTCCACGAGAGGCAGAATTGTGGGCTACTAGGATTCCCACTCGCTTCGCTTCGGGGCACCAACGGCGTAGACTCGACGTTCGAGCGGCGACTACTGGAAAAACGCGCATTCATCGCTGACGTGTGAAAGTTGTAGAGATCAGTGCGCATGGTACTCCAGTCCCGAAGGTCGTTCACTTCAGCTTCACGGCGAAAGGCGCGATCGTAATGGAACCAGGCCCGACCGTCGAAACGCTTAGCCGTCCGAATAATCAGAGCCATGTAAGCCAGCAAATCACGTGCCCGATGGGGGTGAAATGTAGCCATCACCGATGTATATAGCTATTGAAGCACTCGACCCACGAAAGAATGTTTAATGGTGGTTTCTTTTCACGGGCCGACTTCGACAATGGCACGATCGACGAGCCCTCGATGGTGAAGCTACTAGGGTGACTAAAACAACTGCAACCTTAATTGACTTGGTTCTAGCTAACAATCCTGAGAGTATTTCTAACTATGGAGTAATTAATTTGGGGATTTCCGATCATAACCTAATTTTTGCTGTCAAAAAAATGGTGTTTCCAAAGAAAAAACAAGCCTTTAAGGAATTTCGAAATTTTAAAAATTTTAATAAACGACAGTTTCTCGAAGACTTAAATACGGTTCCCTGGGATTATGTGAACCAATTTAATGACCAAAATGATAGCTGGCAAATTTGGAAATTATTCTTTCTAGAGACACAAATTGTCAAATTGTAACGCTGCCTACGAAACAAATGTTAAGGATTCTACTTGCCGTTCAACATTTTGCTTCTCAGGTCTAAGTATTGATCAAATTGCAAATAATCTAAAATCTCTAAAAGTTTCTAAAGCTACGGGACTCGATAAAATTCCAGCAAAAGTACTTAAACTATCTGCGGATATAATTGCTCCATCACTGACTGCCATTTTTAATCTATCATTATATACTGGGAAATTTGTCAATGATTGGAAAATAGCGCGAGTCCAAGCAATCTATAAATCCGAAGATAGGAGAAAGTGTGAAAATTACCGTCCGATCTCCATTCTGCCAATTGTTAGCAAAATATTTGAGAAAGAAATTTTTCGACAACTATATGACTATCTGTCAGAGAACTTACTGATTTCAAAATTTCAATCTGGCTTTAGACCAAAACACTCAACATTAACTCTACTTCTTCAAATGTGTGATAAATGGTTGGAAAATATGGACGAGGGTAAAATTACTGGTATAGTTTCCTTAGATATTCGAAAAGCTTTTGACTCAATTGATCATGAAATTCTACTGATAAAAATGAAAAACCAGTTTGGAATAAAACACTCCGAACTTGCTTGGTTTGCTTCATATTTGACTAATCGAGAGCAGGTGTGTTATGTGAATGGCTATATATCGACTCGCAAAGAAATAATAAGTGGAGTTCCCCAAGGTTCCATTCTGGGTCTCCTGTTGTTTCTGCTGTATATCAATGACTTACCAGAGTACCTAAAATCTACTACCCCTGGAATATATGCAGACGACACTCAAATCTTTGCGTCGTCGGATAACTTTGATGAATTAGTAGATATGTTGAATTCTGATTTAAAAAATATCAGTAAATGGCTTAGTGATAATAAATTGCAACATCATACTACCAAAATCATACTGCCAAGCATCTTGCCCCTGAGCTTTGGCCTCTATTTCTTTGGATTATACCTAGATATATTGTTCTGAAGACATTCAAGACCATTCAAGAAAACATTATTAATTGCATACTTTCAGTAATTCTGCTGTTCATGCAGAGTTCAAAAAAGTCTAATTGATGTCCATATGATCCAATTGTCCCCAAAATGTCCGACAATAGTGCCAAAAAGTTCAAGCATTTGTTATAGGAATGTAGAAATAATGAAAATTTAAGTCTACATTTCGCAATTTTTTCCTGCTCTTTAATGTCGAAAATCGTGTCGATTTAGCACTTACACGGCTCTTCAATTCGTGGTCTACGTCCTGGCTACTTGCTTCGCCACTAGTCGCCGGAGTTTAACAGTAAAACTCGAACACAAGCTAGACTATATGTATCTATTTGAAGGAATACATGCACTTAAAGTATACGGGGAAACGTTTTTACTGTACATACACGCTCCGCACTGTACACATCTCGTCAACAATGACACTGTAATGGCCACTGCTTTTGACATCACGTGCAATCCTCTGTAGTACCAAGCTCGACTTGATTTCAATGAACTCGTTCAATATCTCTTTATGTTGAGTTTGGAGCTTCGTTTTTAGCCATGGCCCATGGCAAATCCTTACATATAAAATGAAGCAGCTCAAGGAAATTTTCTCTGTTAACATCAGAGACCTGCCAAATACGTTTTCTATCTTCCTCATGTCCTCCTATAGCAACATTATACATCAGACACCCGATTATATCACTTGGAGGTATTGTCGGTTGCTGAAAACATATATCTTATGAGCATTGTCCATTTCCTTTAGAACGCATGTGTTCATCAAATGGTTGGCCTTAGACAATACCCATTTGGTCATCGACGTAATATGCTTCTGAGATTTCCCATGTTTAGATAGCTTCTTTGGCTTTTTAAGGAGTCGTCCTTTCCAAATTCTTTGGAAGCAAAACATACACCCTTGTCTTCTAGTTTCATAGCTTATCCATGGATATTTCTTGTACCATTCCGTATGCCGGTATTTTTGAGTGAGGGTTTCATTTCCAAACTTTCTCGTTGGATATTTTGATTAAATCGGATGATTTTATCGTGGATATACTAATGCTGGAAATCCTCCAGATTTTTTTGCAGAACAAACCTGAAGAGATAAGACATGCGTCTTCCGTCATTAAGTTCATGTTTCAAAATGGGCTTCATGAAGTTTCACCAGTGTTCTATAAGGTGTTTTCCATTTTGACGACAATTCCAGCCACATCATGCCCACCCGAGAGATCGTTAAGCGACTTACGCCGCATAAAGACCTACCTTCGCTCCAAGATGGGCCCAGACCGTTTGAGCAGCCTAGCGCTTATATATTTGCATTAAACGTGCATGTCTACGCAAACAGAACACTCGAGAGTGACATGCGAAACATTACTGATATTTTCGGCAAGAGGAAAAATAGAAATTCATATTTCTTTTCACAATTGACAATAATTGAAATTAGTCTATTTTCCACAGACTATATACGTATATGATATTGCCTCTGGATAACATTTTCAGTTAAATTTTTAGTCAGTAAGTCTTTTTATATTAGGTGTTAATCAATATAAGCCCAATGATGTAGTCGATGTGAACTTGTTGTTGTCTATGACAACTTCACGCACAGTGCATGCATCTGAAGGTATACTACATGTTGAATCAATTTGTGAATGTATTATATATACAGACTACAGATTACGAGTATGAATGACGAAATAAAAGTCGGGCAATTTTCGGGGTAGTCGGGCAAATTGCGGAACACCCCCCCTGAAAAATGGCGAGAGTTACCCATTGACCGTTTAATTTTGCACTGTAATTGGTTAAACTTTACGCCTAATTAGCTTCCGTTCAGTTCCTTCATCGTCATGTTTGACACGTGAAAAAACGACAAAAAATACACCATGCCATTTATTCGCCGTTTTTACGTCGTCTTTGACTTACAAATGGTTATTATTGCACAAATGCGTCAACTGACAAATACATACTAAAATATGCGGAAAGTTCTTTCGATTTATTTGACTATAGCTTTTTCAAATATGAGATATATAAGGCTGTACGTCCGTGTACGTGCGTATGAAAAAAGCTAGGTGAATCCGCGAAAGAACTTTTGTATTATCAACCCGGTTTACCAATAAATCCCCAATCACTGGCAATAGTCTTACTGAATAGAAATACATTAATTTTACCCTTGAAATCAGACTGTTGCTTCAGCTATATCGTATACCATGTTCGTCCTCAAGATGACAAAAAGCTATTTCTCACGGTATGTATGAGATCCTTGGCGAACATGACATAAAAATAAGGGTGCTTTCCTTTGTACGGTAAAAACGTGCAGGACGGTTGGATCCTGTTGTATTTCGAACAGACAGATTTTTCAGTAGAGTGTTTCAAAAATTCTGCATTCAAGCATATCAATTATCGTTATTTACATTTTCCCAGCAGGCCAACACGGAGAATGCATTTTCACCATTTAGTCCACTTAAAGGAAAGCACCCCTATAGTACCGCTTAGTCGACACAATCAAACAAATATCTCAGAAATAAACGCGTTCAATTGCTACCATAGGCGTTTCATAATACTGCGAGCGGGCGGGAAAATTAGGGAGAGAGCAGCGCGGGCAGCATTAGAAATGCGGGTAATTGGTATCAGAACTCAGAAGCGCGCATCGCCCGAAGTCCACCGTCCATGTTTTAGTCTGCCCAATCACCCATTGTCCATTGCATAAATTTATCTTGCTTGACTGAAAATAATATTATAGCACGGATCATATTTTGTAAATGTTTGGCCAAAGTCGAAATCGAGAATGGCGAGACCTGTCGGTTAGTAAATATTTGTATTGAGTTATCTTTTGCTGAATTTACATTGCGCCTTTGTTTTCTATAATGTCGAAACGTGTATATATATAATACACGTGTCATATGTCAATTGCATCTGTTTATAAACCGATAATTTTGAATGTTTGAGGTTGTTTTCACCATTGCATAGCATAGAGATCAAACATTACAACGTAAATACATACAAAGAAGACAAAACAAGAATATTGTCTTTTGAAATTTCTGTTGAGGTCTTCTGCTTATGCTTATTTATGTTGATGCTTGTATCGCACGCATGTTTCATTGCGTTTCATTGTGTTTTGCCTGCAAGCCTCCCTTATACTCAATACTATGTCGTGAGTATCGTATCAAGGTTGCTGATGTCAAGCTTGCTGATTCATGTTTGATTTTCATACAAGAATATTTCTTTGTGTGTGCAGTCAACAATGTCAAAGATCAATTTAATTTAATACCGCGAAATAAAGATAAATTTATATTCAGACTATTTGTCTATTTCGCAACGGTGAAAATGATAGGATTTATTTGATATATCAGATCGTAGCTGGACGGCTTAATTTGAGGGTGTGTATTCATATGCTTATGTTTACATGCCGTATATCAAGAACATTGCTTTCAAAAGAAATCTGTTGGGCATTCATAACACGAATATATTAATATTAACCTCCGATTGAGCTTTATCTATGGCCCTGTATGTATTCTATACATATTATTATAATCATGATTTAAAAGATGTAACTTTGCAGGTGATTTATTTTTTAATATTTCTTTTCTTACATACTATACTTATCTTATGATTTAAATGATGATGTAGGCATGGAAAAGCGAGGGACTACCGTTGTCAACAACAAGTGATCGAGCAGCGAAACTTTATGATGCTGTCGTCACACAGGTATGAATACACTTAAGATAAGAATGTCATTTAACACGAAGGACGGTTGTATAATAGCCTAGTTAACTTTTAACTACAGGGTGTCCCAAAAACCCCCCAAACCATTGAAATCACCCATAACAATGTAATAGCTAGAGTTTGAATGCCTAAGCACCTTTGATGTAAGAATTTAAATTAAGAATTTGAATAAAAATTTATGCATAATGATGACAGTAAAATTTGTTTGTATACCCACAAATGACATTTGTTACCTACTAATATGCTTAACAAATATGATAACAATACTTAAATTTACAACTTAATCACCATGACCTTCGACATGTCCTTAATTCTCTAGCAAATTTTAAATTTTCGTAGGCCTATTTAACATTTTATAAGTTGCGTTAATCCCCACGAGCAAAAATTCGCATTGAAAGAAAATGGTACAGCTGACCGCGGAACAACGAGTATTTATTGTGATATTATCCCAACAAGTGTATAAATAAATGTTTGATATAAGCATTTTTATGCCTAATGATGACAGTAAAATTTGTTTGTATACCCGCAAATGACATTTATTACCTACTAATATGCTTAACAAATATGATAACTATATTTAAATTTACAACTTAAGCACCATGACCTTCGACATGTCCTTAATTAATTCTCTAGCAAATTTTAAATTTTTGCAGGCCTATTTAGCATTTTATAAGTTGCGTTAATACCCACAAGCAAAAATTCGCTTCGAAAGAAAATGGTACAGCTGACCGCGGAACGAGTGTTTATTGTGATATTATTCCAACAGAGTGCTCAGGCATTCAAACTCTAACAATTACATTGTTATGGGTGATTTCAATAGTTTTCGGGGTTTTTTGAGGCACCCTGTACAGGGTGTATCAAAAAACTGCAAATACCATAATTTGTAGGCTATCTTTAAAACAGGGAACGGGGAATAGGGGAATGGAACGGGGAATGGAACGGGGAATGGAACGGGGAATGGAAACGGGGGAAGGGGAATGGAATGGCTTCGGGGATGAGCCGGGGAATGAAATGGCTTCGGGGAATGTGCAGCTTGTGCGTCAGTGATTAAAACCTGTAAACGCTTCCATGTCACGAATCATGAGACAGCTACTCACAGTTTGAATTCCTTGAGGTAAAAGACAAAGCGATTACAAGCTCATAGTATAAATGCGATGTTTGCATTGTCATTGTGATGTACATTGATGTACATTATAATAGATAGAATTTGCATGGGTAGGTGGTCAATGTAAATCCTCCAAAATCTGAAGGCAATTAGTATAATACTGTAATAGTATTTTTGCAAAATCTTTTTAGTTTTACTATGCCTTATAAAGCTCAATGTGTGTGATTAAAAGGTGAATAAAGATACTGACACAGTGTCACTTGTTTGTTTTTTATTTCAGGCTATGTGAACAAGACCTCTGGACAGTTTTGTTTAAGCAGGAATAATGGTTGTGGTGGAAATGTGGTGAATGCATTCTTGACAAGTTAATGGGTTTGCTTCCAAGAATACACTGAAACTTGGAGCAAAATGACTTTGATATAATTATGTAATTAATATATTATTTATTAATCTTAATTATATGACTTTTTACCACATAATTCAAATAATGTTCAGATAAAGAGGTAAATATTTCACTGTTAATGGTGTAATAAATATTTTATATGTTGATTATATTCATAATGAATTATTTGTCCTGCTCCATACTTTGGCAATTCTGTTTAAGAAATCCCACCATAGTAGATCTTTTTGAATAGTTACAGTCAAGTTGTTGTCTAGTTAGTACAAAATAATACAAGTACTGCTACAATTAAACAAGGGAAAATAATAAAAATTAATTACATAAGCAAGCACATTTTCTATTTGAAAAGGTCTATGAATTGGATGACAATGTACTAACAATTTTGTGCATTAATTAAAGACAATTGTATTATTACTGTGGGTTCTTTAATATGTCCAATACTCCCAGTGACATCCCACTGAATTCCTGCAGGTGTCTCAATCCATCAAACCAGTTTATCTTTTATTTCTATATTTAAGTCAGAATCAATGTATGAATACATTGATTCTGACTTAAATATAGAAATAAAAGATAAACTGGTTTGATGGATTGAGACACCTGCAGGAATTCAGTGGGATGTATGGGAGTATTGGACAATATAAAAACCCACAGTAATAAACAATTGTCTTTAATTAATGCACAAAATTGTTAGTACATGTCATCTCAATTCATAGACCTTTTCAAAATAGAAAATGTGCTTGCTTATGTAATTAATTTTTATTATTTTCCCTTGTTTAATTGTAGCAGTACTTGTATTATTTTGTACTAAAACTAGACAACAACTTGACTGTAACTATTTCAAAAAAGATCTACTATGGTGGGATTTCTTAAACAGAATTGCCAAAGTATGGAGCAGGACAAATAATTCATTATGAATATAATCAACATATAAAATATTTATTACACCATTAACAGTGAAATATTTACCTCTTTATCTGAACATTATTTGAATTATGTGAGGTAAAAAGTCATATAATTAAGATTAATAATAATATATTAATTACATAATTATATTCAAAGTCATTGTTGCTCCAAGTTTCAGTGTATTCTTGGAAGCAAACCCATTAACTTGTCAAGAATGCATTCACCACATTTCCACCACAACCATTATTCCTGCTTAAACAAAACTGTCCAGAGGTCTTGTTCACATAGCCTGAAATAAAAAAAAACAAGTGACACTGTGTCAGTATCTTTATTCACCTTTTAATCACACACATTGAGCTTTATAAGGCATAGTAAGAACTAAAAAGATTTCTGCAAAAATACTATTACAGTATTATACTAATTGCCTTCAGATTTTGGAGGATTTACATTGAACCCACCCATGCAAATTCTATCTATATATTAATGTACATCAATGTACATCACAATGACAATGCAAACATCGCATTTATACTATGAGCTTGTAATCGCTTTGTCTTTTACCTCAAGGAATTCAAACTGTGAGTAGCTGTCTCATGATTCGTGACATGGAAGCGTTTACAGGTTTTAATCACTGACGCACAAGCTGCACATTCCCCGAAGCCATTTCATTCCCCGGCTCATTCCCCGAAGCCATTCCATTCCCCGTTCCATTCCCGTTCCATTCCCGTTCCATTCCCCGTTCCATTCCCCGTTCCATTCCCCGTTCCATTCCCCGTTCCATTCCCCGTTCCATTCCCCGTTCCATTCCCCGTTCCATTCCCCGTTCCATTCCCCGTTCCCTGTTTTAAAGATAGCCTAATTTGTATGCACGAGATTATACATTAGAATTTCAATGACTGTGCAACTAATTACGCTTCTGGGATTTGAAAATACGTTTCCCAGGGTTATCAAAACCAGCACACAAAGTGAATTAAACTTATGAGTTCGATTACGAATGGCTCAGTTAAGAACATAACTAAGATCCCAGAAGCGTAATTAGTTGCACAGTCATTGAAATTCTAAAGTGCATACAAATTATGGTATTTGCAGTTTTTTTGATACACCCAGTAGCTAATGGAAGAATTCGGCCAATTAGAATAATGTATTTTCTAGTTAACTGCGATTTACCTGCCCCAGCTATTTTATGCTTGTACCGTTTGTTACGGATTTCGTAATTTGTGATTAGGAAAGGGTGACGGTAAGGGACTGGGTTTGAAGAGCAATTATTTCGCGTACGTAAAGCTACGAGAGCTATCTGCTGAGATAAAAGTCACTCGTGAACATTAGCGTAAGCATAGTTATTGCGTAAGTTCCGAATATTCAACATGTTGAATAATTTGGTTGACCGAAACCACCGGTGAGAACCACAACCTTGAACAACGCCGGTGCGAAATTGAGTATCACACACGCCTCCTGTCATTGAGAACAGGTATCGTTTTTATCTTTCATTGAAGGATGTGGTCGGTAAACTGTAACTCAGAATCCACCTCCCCCCCAGGATTCGCACCTGAGATCTTCCGATCCGTAGATCCGACATCATATCCATTTGGCCACAGGGCCGCTACCTTTTAAATGAATACTTTTTCATTCTTGTTTGGTTTTCTAATTATTACCACCAAAATTCAAGCAATCGACAATAAAGAACTGGTAATAGCAGGTTGGCCGGTGTGAGACTCACGACGTTAGCGTTATTAGCACTACGCTCTGCCGACAGAGCTAACTGGCCTTTTTTTAAAGCTTTGGAGTATAAAGGTTTTAAACGCTGGGAAACTCAATTTCTATTAAACCTTTCCACTCTTTCTCATCTAATGAAGTGGACCCCGCCAGTGGACCCCGCCCACCCCGCCAGTGGACGACCTTTCTAATGTAATCAAGTTGATGAAAGATCGGTTGAATTTTAGAAACCTCGACCCCACCAGGACTCGAACCTGGAATTTTCTCATCCGAAGTGAGACGCCTTATCCATTAAGCCATGAGGCCTACAAGAATCCTCCAACTAATCTTGCAAATAATCATTATTCCATATATATGTTGGAAACTCTAAATGACCAACGATTGAGTATCACACACGCCTCCTGTCATTGAGAACAAGTATCGTTTTTATGTTTCATTGAAGGATGTGGTCGGTAAAACTGTAAATCAAAATCGACCCCGCCAAGACTCGAACCTGGAATCTTCTGATCCGTTGTCAGACAGCTTATCTCTTTGGCCACAGGGCGGCTACGTTTTTAAAAGTTTACTTTTTCATTCTTGTTTGGTTTTCTAATCGTTACCACCAAAATTCAAGCAATCCACAATAAAGACCTGGTAATAGCAGGTTGGCCGGTGTGAGACTTATGACCTTAGCGTTATTAAGCACTGAGCTAACCGGCCTCTTTTTAAAGCCTTAGAGTATAAAGGTTTTAAACGCTGGGAAACTCAATTTCTATTAAACGTTTCCACTCTTTCTCATCTAATGAAGTCGACCCCGCCAGGATTCGAACCTGGAATCTTCTGATCCGTAGTCAGACGCTTTATCCATTTGACCCCATGGCC